AGAAAGTGAGGCTCCCGCTTCGACGAGGCGCGCATTCTTCACCCGCTCATGTCTTGGGGGCCTTCGCGAGGGGGCGACTTGTCGCCCTCGCCCAAGCACCGTGCGCATTTCGTTTTGAGTTGGCCTTCGGCGCGGGCGTGGCGCACGGTTCGTTGACGAGTCGGGATGGAGGCGCCTGCGGCATAGGGGCCGCGCGAGAGCGGGCGAACTGCCGACCTCGCCAAACGCCGCGCAGCTTGCGAGCGGAAGGGGCGGTGTTGCGCCACCGCGGCGCATGCTTCGTCCCCGCTGCGCCCATCTGAAGTGCTGCTGCTCCTGGCCCTGCGCGGCCCGCGTAAGTTTGTCTTCGCCGAGTCGTCCCAAGCGAGGCCGCGCGCGAGAGCCTTCAGTTTTCGATGCGTGAGCGCGCTCCCAGCCCATAACCCTGTTGTGCTACAACTGATTTCTATTTGGCGGGAGGGTGGGAATAGGCGGGGCATTGTGGCTCGCTCGACTTGGCTAACTTGACGCCAACCCTACTCCCTGCCCTGGGCCCCACCCGACTCCCAGCCCTGCGCCCCGCCTCATGCCCTGCCCTACGCACAGCCCAGACGACGAGGGCGACGACGACAACGACGACGATGGCGACGATGACGACGACGACGACGATGATGAGGAGGAACGCGGCGCCGACCACGACGGCGACGACGACGACGACGAGGACGAGGACGACGACGACGACTGCGGCGGCAGCGACGGCGGCGACGGCGGCGGAGGCGACGACGAAGACAATGACGACGACGACGACGACGACGACGACGACGACGACGACGACGACGACGACGACGACGACGACGACGACGACGACGGCGACGGCGACGGCGACGGCGACGGCGACGGCGACGCCGACGGCGACGGCGACGGCGACGGCGACGGCGACGGCGACGGCGACGGCGACGACGCGACGGCGGCGGCGGACGACGGACGACGACGACGACGACGACGACGACGACGACGACGACGACGACGACGACGACGACGACGACGACGACGACGACGACGACGACGACGACGACGACGACGGACGACGGCGACGGCGACGGCGACGGCGACGGCGACGGCGACGCGACGGCGGCGGCGGCAACGAGACGACGACGACGACGACGACGACGACGACGACGACGGGCGTCGTGCACTTGTTTATGAAAAGGTTTTCCCGAGGCCCCCGGAACCCCCGGAGGGCCTTCCGAAACGGCGGCGGCGAAGTCTGCGGCGGTGGCGGCCCTGCGCCAGGCGCTGCTGCCCGAGGGCGTCCAGTTCGAGCTCGAGCGGGCGTCCGAGCAGCACGCCATGTGCCTGATGGGCACCGCCTGGAGGTCGCACGGCCCAGCGCCCCCGCCGTCGGCGTCGGCGTCGGCGTCGTCGCCGTCGTCGCCGTCGTCGCCTGATGGTCACCCGCTGATGGACCATGCGGTTGCCGCCAGCGTCGTTGCCGTCGGCGTCGTTGGCGTCGGCGTCGCACGATGGGCACTGCCTGGAGGCGCCGCGGCGTTCGCCGTCGGTGTCGTCGTCGGATCGAGGTTTATGTGCGCTGCTGGCGCTTGTTGGGCATCGGGGGCCCCGTGGAGACAATCAAAGACGTCCAGCAGGGCATTCGTCAGTTTTCTGGAGGTCCTGCAGGGTTTCGGAAATTTTCATAGATGCTCGGGGCCTCGTTTTTGTTCATCGATGTTGGGGGGCTTTCTGAGAGGTCGTGCCAGTCGTTTTCATCGGCGTCGGCGCCGTCGGCGTCGTCGACGTTGTCGACGCCGTCGTCGGCGTCGTCTTTGTCGGGATCATCGACGTCGTCGCGTCTCCGCCGCCGTCGCCACCGCCGTCGCCGCCGTCGCCGCCGCCGTCGTTGTTGTCGTCGTCGTCATCGGCTTTTGAACGTTCTCGGTTGCGTTATGATATTTTTGTTGGCCTCCGTGGGTTCAGAGAACGCAGCCGGGGACGTCGGGAGTCTCTGGGTGATTTCGGAGCAGCCTGAATGCTTTCCGGATGTTTCCGCAGTTTCCCAGAGGTTTCCTGAGAGGCCGTGCGGTTCGTTGTCGTCGTCGCCGGCGTCGCCGCTGCCGGCGCCGGCGTTGTCGTTGGCGTCGGCCTCGGCGCCAGACCTCGAGGGCACCCTGCCTTCATGCGGATGCTCTCGGCCCGCAGGTCGGAGGCGAGCCAGGGGAGAAGCGAGAGGGGGCAGGCCTTTCTCAGACGGCGGCGGAGCTTCTCGGAAGCCTCCGCGCTTTCTGAGAGGTCTTCGAAGCCTCCTCCGAAGACAGAGCGACGGCCGGTCAGAAGGCGCGAGGGCTTCCGAGAAGCCCCGCCACCGGGGAAGGCCTGCCCCCTCTCGCTTCCCCCCCCGGCTCGCCGCCGATTCGTGCCGATGCCCTCTTGGCCCGCAGGAACGCCATCACCGGGGACATCGGCATGACGGGGCCGGACTTCGGGTCCGTGTCGGACTTCTCCGTGGTGGACTTCTGGTCGCGCGAGCTGGCGCCTCGCGCCCCCGCCAGCGGGCCGGCCGGTCTTGTGACGCGCTCGGGGGTCGGCCTGGCCCGAGGGCCACCGCGAGCGGCGAGCGTATTCGGCGACGAAGTCCAAAGCCTTCCCTCGCCGATCAACGAGTCAGGCCCCCCGTGCCTGGTCAGCCAGCGGCGCTAAACCCGCTGAAGTTTTGCCCGCTGTCCCTTTTCTCGCAGTGGGTCCAGTCCCGGAGGTCCATGGGCCCTGACGGGCGCGTCGGCCCTCGTCGGCCCTCGTGGGCCCTCGTGCCTCCTCGTTATCTTCCGGCAAATGTCGGGTCCGGTTCGAAGTACCCGAAAATGCGCAAACCGCCGAGGACTCTTGGCAAACAAACATCATTCTCGAGGTCTTCGGGCCCACTCCGAAGAAACCCAACATGGGCAAACCGCTCAAAAGTTCCTACCGAGAGCGGCTTCTCGGTGCTTCTGGGCCTCGTCCGAAGGAGCCGCCGATGGGCAGACCGTTCAGGACTTCCTGCGCAAGAAACGGTTTCCCGGGTGAGCCATTCTCGACGGGAGCGCACCCCACGCGGGATCGGGGTTCGCACGGGGGCGCGGCTGCTCTCGCCTGTCCAGGGGGCATGAATTGCCGCGCCCTTCCAGCATAGCGTTTGCGCTGCATTCGCGCGGCGCCGTGCTTTTCAAATCGGAATAAACTTTCGGAGCGCCGATGTATGTCGCGTGCCCAGTAGAGAAAGGAACCCCATTGCCCATCGGCCTCTCCCTCTCACCGAGTTTTGTGTGCCGTGTCCATGTCCAATCCTTGGTTTTGACCCCTCCTCCCTCGTCCTTCAAAATCGACCTTAAGATTTCTCCCTGGAACACGCTTTGACCCAGATCCCTCGGCGGACCCAACCGTAGTGACTAGGGCCTCCCACGGTACTTCCGAACAAAGGGGGAAACGCAATATCCCTTTTCTCCATCTTGCATCCTCACCTCCTCCCCAGCCTCTGTGACGATTTGTCCCGGAAAGGGCGTGGGCCCAGGGTTCCATGTGGAGGCTTATTCCCGAATTCGACGGGGAGAGGGCCGGCGAAATCATTTGCGGTACGTAACGAGGCGGAAGGCCGGCGAAGTTATGTTCGAGGATGTCTTGAGCGAGATGCTTCTTTCCCACAATGTGTAGAGGATGTCTCGAACGAATTGCTTGTTTAGTATTATATGTTCTTCTTCTCGGGACCAGAATTCAGAGGATGTCTCAGGTGAAATATTGATTTTCATGTGCCCAGATCTTGTCGATGTCTCGATCGAAACGTTTGTCCCCACGCGTCGTGTCGAGGAAGTCTCGATCGAGACATTTGTTTGCACATCTCTTGGTTGCCCAGGCGGATGTAGTCCCCCTGGCATGTCGCGCGGCGCGTCCCCTGGCACCGCCCGTGGCGCCTCCATGGGCACGTTCTGTAGCGCGTCCCCTTGGCACGTCCCGCGGTGCATCCCCTTGGCACGTCCCCTGGCACGTCGCTTGGCGCGCCCCTCGGGACGTTCCGCGGCGCGTCCTCCTGGCATGTCCCCTGTTGTGCTCAGGCAGCTCGAGCTTCGGATCCAGATCAGTTCGGTGAGGATTCGGATGCAAACGATGACTCGATCCACAACGCTACGGAACACAATCGCGGCATGGCACATCGCAATTCAGCACGGCGCAGCACAGCACAGCCCTCGTCACGGTATATCAATATCGTTACACGTTTGCAACTTGGCACATTCCTTGGAACGTTCTGTGGCGCGTCCCGTGGCGAGTCCCCCTGGCACGTCGCGCGGCGCGTCCCCTTGGCACCGTCCGTGGCACGTCCATTGGCACGTTCCGTAGCGCGCCCCCTTGGCACGTCCCACGGTGCGTCCCCACGGCACGTCGCCTGGCGCGACCTTTTGGGACGTTTCAACGCGCGTCCCCATGGCGTTTCCCCTTGACAATTTAGCTCTGGGGCAGCTACTATGTGCTCAGGCAGTTCGAGCTTCAGATCCAGATCAGTTCGGTCAGGACTCGGATGCAAAGGAGGAGTCGATCCACAACGCTGTAGAGCACAATCGCGGCATGGCACATCGCAAGTCAGCACGGTGCGGCACTGCACAGCCCTCGGCACGGTACATCAAGATCGATACATTCAGCATTGCGTTTGCCCGTCGCCCAATCAGGTGTCTTTGAAAACGTTGCCATGCCTTACATTTCTATATCCCTTCCCGGGTTCGTGGGTCGATCATGTCTCGAGCTGCTCTGGCCAGAGGAGATCACCGCGCCACTCTTTGGCGGCCGTGGGGCCCGAAATTGGCATGCCGAGCTGCGGTCATAAAGCCGACCTCTGGACCTCGCCAGGGGTGCGTTCTGGCCAAGGGCTCCCTGGACACCCACCAGACACCGCCGAAAACGTTCCGAGGCCTCCATCGTCCAGAAGACCCCCGGTCCTCCCGGCCTTCCCCGCTCGCGGCGCCCGGGAGGTGCTGGGCGACCTGAAGGACCTGTCGGAGGACTGCTGCGGGGGGCGGGGCGGCTTCTGCCCCGCGCCACGCGCGCTCGGCCTGCCCTTCCCGCCCCCTCCGGCGCAGCCAGATGACCCGTGCGGGGGTCCGGCCCGCGCGGGGGGTCGTGAAGCGGGGGCGGGCCCGCCGGCGGAAGGCGGCGGAGGGAAGCGCCAGGCGTCAGCCGTTCGTGCATCCAGGGTTTCTTGGGGTGGGCGTCTGTCGGGTCGGGCGAAAGGGGGGGTTTGGGAACGGGGGGGTTACGAAATCTGCTGCATGCAGCTGGTTTCGGCCCCGCCGCCGGGCCCATTCCTCGATACATGGGCGCCTCCCGGCGCCTGGAGGCGCCGGTAAAATCAGCTAGTTACGTGAGCTGATTCTCAAACCCCCCCTTTGCTATCCCCCCCTTTCGCCCGGCCCGAGTCTGGGGGGATAGGGGGGGTCGGCGCGGCCCGCTTGGTTGGACGAGGCAAGCGGCGCCTCGCTGCACTGGCGCGAGGCTGGCGAGGAAGGGGGGGTGGCGCGGGGAACAGGAGCGACGCAGAGGGCATCGACGTCACCACCCTCACCACCCTCGATGCGGCGCCTTCGCGCTCGTCTTGCTGCAGCTGCACGCGCCAGTTGCGCCTGTGGTCCAACCGATGTGGGAAGAACCAGGGGGCAGCGCTGGCCGCGATCGCCTTTGTCAAGGCGCAGCAGGCAGTTAAACAAGCGGCAGGCCCACGTGGGCGAGCAGTCGAGCGCGCGCAGGAAACGGGGCGGAAGCTGGAGGAGATCACCATCGCCCTCCAATAAGCTGAAGCAACCTTCCAGACCGTCTCGGCCACAGTGGCGAACACCAGCCACAACCAGTCGTTCCACCAGCTCCAGCAGCCAAGCTGAAGTCGGCCACCGAGTTCCTCGCCGTCTTCCAAAGGAACCATGCGACTTCCACGAAGAGGTCGCCGAGGATGAAGTTCTCTGCCGCAGAGCGAAGACCTCAGCGGAAGAGCTGGCCAAGAACGCCAAGGCCATGGAGGGGCAAGCCAGGGCCCGCGCGGAGAAGTTCGAGGCAGGCGCCCTTCGACGCCAGGACAAGCTCAGAGCAGTCGGGCGGGCAGAGTGCACGCGCCAGCCCCCGCAGACAGCTGCCGCTACCGAGTAGACGGGCCAGGGGGCCAGTCGGAGGTGACCGCCGCCGGAGGGGGAGGAGCCGCGAGGGCGGGACAATCTGGCCCAAGCGCAGATGCCGCCCTGGGCGGCGAGGCCGCAGCCGCCCCCCATGGCGCAGGGGCGCGCCGAGGGCGAAGCTGAAGACGAGGAGACGAAAAGAGGAAACGGAGCGGATGCGCGCGTCGCACAACGCATCCAGGACGCCAAGGCCAGGGCCGGGGCTGACGCGTGGCAGCCGTCGGCCCAGCGGGGCGGTTGTTTGTCCACGCCGGGGTGTTAAAGCGGCCTTCGGGCCGGAGTCCCACTCGCAAGTCCGATACGCAAGTCCTCTTCCTCCTCTTCCTTTTCCTCGTCTCCTCCTCGTGGCAGGAGCTTTGGTCCCCATGTCAGGAGGCGGCGCGGACATGGCAAGTGGCGCCAGGAGGTCCATGCCGACTCTCACAACATCACGGTCCGGCCACCCTCAGCCCTCAGTTGAGTGGGGCCGATGATGCACGGCTGGCAGGGCACCGCCTCGCCCTGGACATTGCCATCGTCGCAGTTATTAAACGTGCGCGGGCGAGTGGTGTCCGAAGCCTCTGAGCACCAGCACGGCCAAGGCAAGTTCGAGGGGCGCGCGGGGGAACCACTGGCTTTTGTGCGAGTTGACATTGCAGTGGGGCATCGGCTAGCAGGGTTCGAGTCCCACTATTGCAACGAGGCGCGCAGCGACATTGCCATTGTCAGCTTGCACCTTGCACAGTGGGGCTTCTTTACTTGCGCCCCGATGGCAGCATCGGCCTGGTCGACCGGAACATCTGCACTCTCGCGGCGCCCCTGGAGAAAACATTGCTCTGAGAATGGCCTTGGCTAGCCATGGGGGGACGTCAACGAGTCAACGCCAACAGGGGATGTCGGACTCGTCCTGGCCATAAAGGCTTTGGGCACAAATGGTGGCGACAGACCTGTTTGTGTGTGCGTGTGCCTGTGTGAATGTGTATGCGTGTGTTTGCATGTGTGTGAATGTGTGTGTGTGTGTGGGTGTGTGTGTGTGTGCGCGCGCGTGTGTGTGTGTGTGTGTGTGTGTGTGTGTGTTCGTGTGCTTCTTGACTTTCAGCTTCCAAAACTGTCCTCAGCTATTTGAGGCCTCAGAAGTCACATGCCACACATGCCTTGTCCAGACGCCCTAGGTTTATTTACGTATCTGAGAAAGAAGCTTGATTTTCTCTGTTTTGGGAACCTCCTGCATAGAGCAGGAGACCTAGGTTTGCGTATGGAAAATCCACGCCCTAGGACCCCAAGGGCTCCGAGGCCTCGCCCACTTTAGTGTTACATGATGTTCATACATCAAAGGCTTGCCAGCGCAGCCTCGTTGCTTCCTCCTCCTCGCCTGTCCTCTTGGCTGCTTTCTTCCTCTTGTCTCTGCCGTCTCGTGCCCCGCTTGGTCACTCTCCTCCTGGCCCGCCTCGGCCTGGGACACCTTGCCAGACAGCCAGCCTTTCACACCCTGTTTGCCTCGCCGCGCTGACCGCAGCCAATTTGTGTCAAGCCTCTCCGTCAGGGGTTTAGAGGCCAGCTCAAACCTCGCAGAGCGAGGTGCATACACGTGTAGGTCTTTGACGGACTGTGCAAATTGCGGGTGCTCGGAAAAGCTGGACCTGTCCCTGGTGAAGCCCCCTCACGAGGCCCACAGACTCAGCATTCGTTCACTTACGTACTCATCACAAGTGTGTATCGGGGAGGTTGGATCGTCCACCGCATCGGCGACGTGCACCACACCCCGACACCTCCATATACGTTCATAACTCCATATACGTTCATACCTTTATATCATCAATATATGTGACGTCAAGTGGCATTTCGGACGTAGCATTGCAAACTTTCATATAAACAAGATCTAGGACACCAGTGGAATTTCAGTTTCAGATTGGTCTTTGAGGGACGTAATGGCAGATAGTTTCTTCTTGAAGCGCGACCTGCTCCTTCGTATTTTTAGTTACGTGACATCGGACTCCCGATGGCTACCTCAAGTATCAGCTACTTCAGCAGCCCCATGGGCTGCGCACCTTCAGCACAACCAAGTCTCGAAGGCCCTCTGCTACGCGCATATGGAGAACATCGCGGCTCACGAGGCTTTCCAGGCATCAGACGCATACGATCAGGCATGTCGCAGTTGGGTACGGAGTCAGGAACAGCGACTCGAATGAAGATCCGATTTGCTCCCACGACTAGCCGCCAAGCTGGCTGGAAGATTATAGCGTGTCTGCTCCTCTGCTTGCCTGTGCTTGTAAGGGGTTCTTAGCAAACAGATAATGGCGAGTTCCCCCGCCGCTACCTACCCCTTCGACGTGTGCTCCCCGAAGGCCCCACGCTTCTCCCCTCACTAATCAAAGAACTTCGACTGGTGACTTCTTGGGCTTCTGAGCTCTCGATCTACTCGGACTTCCTGGGCAATATGCCATGCGCTGACACCCTGGCCATGCTCTTTGCTGCTACGCTATGGCAATGCTTGGAGACACAACCCTCTCTGTATTTTGTAACGGCTCTGCATAATATTCAAACTGAGGTGCTTTCGAGGATTGCAGCCCCAGGTGCTAGCTCATGCGCCTCGGTGTTTGCGAGGGGAATAACATGCTGTGTCTCTCTATGCCGTGCTCGGGTACTTGCCATCGGTGGGAAGAAGAGCCGCCATCGATGTTCCCGACTCCTTCGCAGTTCCCCCCACGCCTGCAGAGTGCGATAAGACATCGCGGACAGGCTTCGCTGATTGAGTCAGCCGAGCTCTTCCACTTTGTACTCCTACAGATACGTTGTGTTCTCGGAACAGGCTGTCGCTCCTCCGACGCGCTCCCCACTTCCGACTCCAGCTTTGCGTGCCAGCTTGGATCCGATTGTTTGTACATTGGCCAAGGGGCCCTATGCCGAGGGACGTCGGGGTATTCTGGTGGTGTTGGGCGGTTTCGGGAGCACCTACGAGGCCTACGATGTATTGCCCTGGGAACCCCCGCCAAAGAGAAGAACAGGTACCTCCAGCTGGCCCCTGGGTGCTCAACTTGGACCCTCCTCTTCTTCCCGACCCTGGTCCCAGCGGCTACCATGCATGCTGTGGAAAGCGCCCGCATGGCTTACGCCAGACCGACCGCGAATAACCTTCCGAGTCCACACCTTGGGCGTCTTCGGGCAAGGTATCGCGCCCACCCGCGGGCACGTCGAGGACGAAAGGAGAAACGGTCTGGGATATGTGTTGGACTGATGGGAACCACATTACAACAGGAATGGTACGAGAAACGAATGCAACGCCTCAGCATCAAGTCTCTTGGGTTCTCTCGTTGCCTGGCCACGCGACATCGGTGGCAACATGTGTTGCAGCAGCCCTGCGGTACTTTATGCGATCTGTGTCTGCAGCGACACTATATGACTGGCAAGGGATATGGCCCTTTGCACATTACAGGTTCTGGCAGTAGCGTTTTGATGATGAAGTGGGCCTCGATCGGCGCTCGCAGCATGCCGTGGCCAATAGTCTATAGAGCTCGGCCCCGCGGAAGTGATTTCTTGCACACCATTTGGGAATTCTCAGCCCTGTATCCATTCTGGATGGATCGCGTTCGGGTACGCTCTTCCCTCAAGGATCATCTCCATTCTCTAGACCTCCCTACCCCAGCTTGCTGTATTGTGCGGGTATCCTGTGCTGCCGAGGTAGGCAGCGTTCGCCGCTGGCTAGCCCGTACTGTACACCAGGCGCGGTCTTCGCGCCCAGCATGGGCCTCTTGGGCTGCCAAGGCTACCAGGATTATAGTTCAGCCCATCCCGACAGTACGACGACGGTTTTGCAATATTGCTAGAGTATATCGGGAACAACGATTCCAATCCCTAGGGGA